ATATATATATATATATATATAAATTCTCAGTCTCAAAGATCTTCTTTTCTTAAACGTATTCAACAAAAGTTGGTTTATAGAAAGGGCATTAATTCTAATGTAAAGTGTACGTTTCTAATATTCACAAGAATGAAGTATCTTAGAATTAATACAAGTCAACTTTATTCTCTACTTGTAAGAATCCTTAAACATCTCTGATTCAAAGATCTATTAAACCTCCAACATAGTCCTAACTTTATTAAATTATCAGTTCTTTCAGGCAAGATATCTATCATCTTATAATTTGTGCAAATTTGTATTTGGGTTTGAATCCTAACACCCTATACTAGATGTGTGACCAGAGCAAGTGACAAATCTTTCTAAGTCTCAGTTTTTATAATCTCTAAATGGAAATAATATGGAGACCAACTTCCTAGTGTCATTGTTTAGGTTGAGATTTAAGTGAAAAAAATGCATGAAGCATGTGACAAATAGCAAAAACTTATTGCATGTTATTATCTATTATTGCTTTATATTCCTTATTTTACCAGGAATGTAGGCAAGCAAAAATGATTTTTTGAAGATGCTAATGTAGAACTCAAATATAAATGGCAGGCATATTCAGGAGGTTGTGAGTGAGCTTAAGATTGAGGAAAACCCAAGAGAAAACCAAAAAACATGAACTTCCCTTTACTTGACTTGACCCAGATGCACAGGGATGGGAGTGGAGTGGCTGAGAACACAGACAGATTTTCACTAAGACACCTCAAAAGCTCCTTGGACTCTCACATGGAAGCATGTGGGTTGTCTAAATGTTAACACAATGTCTCTTCTTTCCTATTGCAGTATCCGTACCATCCTGATGTTTTGAAACAATGCAGATGCCTTTCCTTGTAGCAGGCTTCAGCCTCCTCTACCCTACATGATCTGGAGCAACAGCTGGGAAATCATTAATTCCTAGCAGAAATCATTAATTCTGCTCTTCAGAGATGTTAAAAATAAAGTACACGTGGGAGCTTTCCAAAGAAATGGAAATTGATGTAAAATTATTTGTCAAGCAAATGTTTAAAATCCAAATGAGAACTAAATAAAGTGTTGAAAGTCAGCTGGGGAATTGAAGCCAATAAACCATCCTTCTTAACCATTCTACTGTGTCATCTTTGCCATTGAGGAAAAATATTTCCTGTGACTTCTTGCATTTTTGGTATCTTCATAATTTTCAGTCATTGAATCCGGTGGAGGGGAACCTTCACTTGCCCTGAACATACACCTGCTGGTCCACTGTGCTTGAAGTCTTCTAACTCTGTCTCAGTTTTCATTGTCTGCATTTTCCTTTTTTTAATAAAATGCACCAAATCCCTAGGCTAAAAACTAAAGTATGGTAAAGAATAGTCTCAAATTTACAAGTGAAGAAGATCCAGAAGTTCTAAATCCAGGATTTTTCTTAGTAACTCAAAGAAAATGCCACACATTTTCATACAATGAAGGGAAGTGTTTTTATTGCTTTTATGCTATTTGTTTACAGTGAAGATACAACTGACTTTTAAAAATACAAGCAGATTTTGTGCTTCATGTGATGAACTTAGGTTTGGACACTAAATGTGAAAACTGAACTATTCCTAGAATCATGTTCAAAAAATCTGCAATTTTTCCTCATGAAAGTGCTTCATTAGCTAAACAGTCTTAGTTTATGATTCCAATGGGTTGAAAATGAAGTACAGAGTAATTTAAAGTATTATGGTGGCTTTATGTGTAGATATTGGGTGGCAAATGCTGTGAACACAGAGTGTAAAATTGGTAACTAAGAAATGGCAAAAACACCTAAAGCAATATGCTTTCCAAGTAGACATATACACACACACACAAATGTATATTTGCGCAAAATTGTTTTTAATCTAGAACGCTCCTATTAACTACCATGTCTTACATCAAGTCTATGATCCTAAAATTAGTTTAATATTTTGAATATGTAAAGGCCTGTAGTGCTCATTTGTTCATGCTTTTCCACTCTCAGGGAAAGATTTGCATTTTGAGCTTTATCTCTAAATGTGATGTGTAAATATTATTCCTGGTAAAGGAGTTACAGCTGTCTTCAAAAATGCTACTTGTTGCAATACATACAATCTATTTTATATTGTGGAAGACCTTAGACATAAAGTAAAATAGTCTATAATTTGCTGTGTGACCTTCAGTAAGTCACTCAGTCTCTCTGAGCTTGTTCATCCTTTGTTTTGAAAAAAGTACTCAACCAGCCCATTACATCTTTACTGAGGCTAAATGTGATGATATTAATGAAAGAGTTTTGCTAACTGGGAAGGGTCTCCTAAATGTAGAGAAAATATGACTGTTTTTTCAAAAATGCTGAAGGAGATACTCAGGGTCAAGACACTTTTCAGAATCTCCCTAAGATAATATCATGGGACACTACCTGGTGCTGGATGCTCTGTGGCTTTTACACTGATGCTGATGGTGTGAGATTCAGAAAAAGAAGAAGTAATTCTACATGCCCACCCCACAACAGGGTCATCAAATCTTGCCAGTGACACAGAGGCTGACATCTACCTCCCACCCTCCTTCCTCCCAGGCTAGGGGAGCAGGTAGAGTGGGGGGCATTAGGTGGGCACTGCCAGTGTTGTCATAGAGTGGCACAGTCCTCCATGGGGTGGGAGTGGCACGTGGGAGGCTTCTGCACCATGCACTGGCTCCTAGTTACATTGACATTGGTGGGTCTAAAGAGGCAAGTCAAAATCAAAATATGAAAGTGGAACACCAGAGTAGCTTGTGTCCTGGTGAACCTAAAGTGGTGCACATGATCTGGGTGACTTGCAGCAAATTTTGACTCTAGAATCAAAGACTTCTATACATGCTGATCACCCCCTCCATAATATAACTCTGTGAATGTACATAGTTCACACTCATTTTAGCTAGCAGCAAAAGGTTTTGTCAAAATAAAGAAACTTTTCAAACTTTAAAAGGAGAAAAGATTATGTTGACGGTTTAATTAATAACTATGTGAGGTGCACTGACTTAGCACCACCAGAAAGAGCATACAAACAAAACTCTGAATTAACTTTTTGCTACTTTAGAAATCATACATGCTGCTCTGGGATTAGAAAGAAAGTCATCTTGACAGAATTATTAGAAAATTGCTCAGATGTTGAAGTATAGTGAGAGCAAGTCTATATCTGATAAATACATGCTTAGACACCTGACTATTCATTTCTGTAACCAAATGATTATTACACAAATAACCTCTAGTTAGGTGTTCCCTGAAAATGTTAAAGTAACTATTTTATTAAAGTACCTTAATAAAGATTAGCAGCTACTAACCCATTAAAATGGATAAAAACACTTGGAAGCTCTGTGATTTCAATGATGATTGTGTTTTTAATCTGTGTTGTTTGTATAGTCTGCAGAAGCAGATCCTAACTCCTGCAAGAAGCAGCTCACCATGACAAAGCTGACTTTCCTTTTATCGCTTTGCAAATCAAAGAAGGGGGACATGTTGGGAACAGGACCCCCAAAATCTGGCCATAAACTGGCCCCAAAACTGGCCATAAACAAAATCTCTGCAGCACTCTGACATGTTCATGATGGCCATGACGCCCACGCTGGAAGGCTGTGGGTTCACTGGAATGAAGGCAAGGAACACCCGACCCACCCAAGGCAGAAAACCACTTAAAGGTGTTCTTAAACCACAAACAATAGCATGAGCAATCTGTGCCTTAAGGACATGCTCCTGCTGCAGATAACTAGCCAAATCCATCCCTTTATTTTGGCCCATCCCTTTGTTTTCCATAAGGAATACTTTTAGTCTGTAATCTATAGAAACAATGCTTATCACTGGCTTACTGTTAATAAATATGTGGGTAAATCTCTGTTTGAGGCTCTCAGCTCTGGAGGCTGTGAGACCCCTGATTTCCCACTCCACACCTCTATATGTTTGTGTGTATGTGTGTTTAATTCCTCTAGCGCCACTCGGTTAGGGTCTCCCTGACCAAGCTGGTCTTGGCACCTGTCTCTACAAAAAAAAAAAACACAAAAATTAGCCAGGCAGAGTGGCATGCAACTGTAGTCCCAGCTATTTGGGAGGCTGAGGTGGGACAAAGACTGGAGCCCAGAAGGCAGAGGTTGCATTGAGCCATGATCACGCTGCTGCACTCCAGCTTGGGCAACAGAGCAAGTCCTAGTCTCAAAAAAGTTTTATATCTTAAAATCAAGAGGGATTAATATAATGCATCACTAAGTATAAAAAGCAAGGTACACAGTAATGTATATAAGATCCAATCTTTGTGAAAGACAGAACAAATTAAAATTTGTAAATATTATATATAGGTTTGTATGAGCATGGAGAAAGATACAGAAATGGACAGAACAGGCTGTTCATCTCAGAAACCAGGATCTGAAAAGAGTTGAAAAACTGAAGTTAACTTTTTAACCATAACTGTTTGGTTTTACTAGTTAGGATGAGATTTATAATTTTATTACTTTTTTAAGTTATAAAGAAACTGTAAAGAAAGACTCCAGCTGCCAACATGTACATGTAATTGTAAAATAAAGGTATTGTAATTGCAATTTTATTATTAAAAGGAAGTCTGACCAAATAATTGTCAAAATAATATGAACTCTCAGCCACTTCTAAAGCCTTAGGAAGATGTTACTCATCATGGACTAATAGAGTCATAGAAATGTTTTCTTACTGGATCATTCAGGAAACTAAGATTATCAATGGCAGACATTTAAGTCTGGATATAAGAAAATTCTCACAGGCCTAAACAGAAAACTTCTAGAGCTATTAAAGATGAGATTATTATAAGGTCCAGTAGATTTTTGGCTATAGTCTTGCAAGACTAATGCAAACAAGCTTTTGGAGTTACCTGGGTAGTCCTGGATTTTGCCTTTTTTCTCCCAAGTGGCTTATATTTGAATTTTCAATTGCCCTCTTGGGCCCCAGGGTGCTGGCAGCTGGTCATGTTTCTTCTACATGGAAACTTTGAAAATCATCCTTTGAAAAATCTGACCAGCCCAAGAGAAAATACCTACTCTTACTGACATTATATTCCCCAGCAATTAAGCCCACCAGATAATTCTGTAGTAAATCTCACATGACACAGATGGCACCCGTGTGTTCAGAGCTTCCCAATAGCTCATTAGGGCCCCATCCTGCAACAGAAGACAACCAAGATCATCAGACATGTGGAGTGATTCTAGCTTTGTAATAGGAAAGGTAGAAACATAGCAAAGAAAAAAGAAGTTGGAAGAAATGATCCATGAAATAAAAAAATACAAATTCTTTCTAAAAGCTGTTAATAATATTTGTAAAAAGATATTATACACCGGAAAGAAGAATATGATGCCATAAAATTTCTTGAGAATTAAAACTCATCACTGCAGAGTAGAAATCCAATAGAAACAAAAGATTTCAATAAATTTACCCCTTGGTGTACCTTTTCCTCCAGAAGATAACTAATGAAGTGCCCCCAAACTGATAAATTAATTCAAAGAATGATGTGGTATCTGAGAAGCTGATGCTGTCACCCTGAGAAGAGGGAAGGGATTCCCCAGGACGAGGGTGGGGAGGCTCCAGGATGGCAGGCATGGCCAGATGCAAATCACCTCCTCCCAACATGGGAGTAAGTCAAAGACTCCAGGGAGATACACAGCTGGGAATAAAATTTCCAGGGACTATGGCATCATGCCATATCTCAAGCAATTTAAATGGAAATAAAATTGACATGTTCTGGGAAAATATGCTAAAAAACTCAAAAGTGTCTTTAAGGCTGATGAAGACATACAAAACACGTATTTTTAATGTGTTATATCATTTTGTATAAAATGGTAATAGTAGAATCTGCCTTATAGTGTTATTGTGAGGTTTACATGATCTGTTAATTGTAAAGCATTTAGAACAGAAAGTGGCACATACTGAGAGTGACAAGGATATTAGCTACTTTATTGATATTTAGGTTATTAAACTCTGGAGTTAGGCTTCCTGGGATCCTGGCTCCACCACTAGCTGTGTTACGTTAGGAAATCTATGCAATCTCTCTAAACCTCAATGTCTTCATCTGTAAAATGTGCATGACAATGGTATCTACCTGATAAGTTAATGCTAAACATTGCTATAAGTGAGGCAATGTGTGCACA